ACAGTGTGAATGCTTGTCCTGCCTCAGCAGAGGGCATGGCTAATGGGTATGTGTGGCAAAGGGGGCGGGCTAGAGGACCCATCTCTGATCATCAGCCAGCCCTGGGACATGTAACCTCTTCATGACCATGGTGCCCCTTTCACCAAAGAGTATCTGTCAGCCCTTAGAGCAATTAACATTATGGATAGTTGAGGCTAACGAAGGATGAGTGACTTCAACAACATTCACATTTTTAGTAATTTTATGGAAATGTCTATTTTATGGGACAATCTCCCCAGTAGAACTGAATTACTACATTAATATTAATCCTTGGAATAAGGTAATGTGTATTGGAATGTACATAGAGCAATTAATTTAACAATTCTTTCCAGTGTTACTTTAGGAGCTGAAACCAAGTATGCTGACACTAGGTAATTATCAATAAAATATCGAGGAATAATTTTATTAGTAATTAACTGGGGACCAGGCTATTATTATCTCACCCTCTGCTTTGCAAGTTGTGAAGTGCACAGAGACACGCATGCATACACACGTGCGCTTCACACACACACAAATCAGCTCTCATTCAGCACCTACCAGACACTTGCAGGGCGGACTGGACATAGTCTAGGTTTCACCTGGAGACTGGGTGAGCAGTGTCACAGACAGTGAACGGGGAGAGAAGACAAGGGGGAAAACAGGCTCAGGGTGCCCCCTGGGACATGGTGGCTCTTTGGTTTGTCACCAGATGGAAATCCCTGGCCATCTCTGTGGTCTTTTTAAATGCTACCTAAACACTGACCTCTTCCCAGAGCTAGAGAGCAAGCCTAACTTGGGTCAAAATGGGTTTTGAGCATGATGAAGGGTGAGCGAGACGGGTGTGCATTATATCTGGGCATTTCTCAGGAGCAAAGTTCTTGGGGGTGTCTGTCTCTCAGCTGGGGAATCCCACCTTGACCATCTCACTGAAAACAGGAGCAGAGGTGAGAAAAACAGAAAATGCAAAAAGTGCAAAATGAGTTTGCTGCTGCTACCATTTTTCTTGGAGAGAGAAAGGGAATCAAATCTCAAGCAAAGATGGCTTTTGAAGAGCAGTACCTGGAGCACGCAGGCGTGGCTGGGGCATTCATGCAGACACAGGGAACAGTGTTTAGCCTTTGCTGATGCAATTCATAAGGGGATGTTCTCTTCTGTTGGAAAATCTTTGCTTCTGCTCACAGGCGGTGGATTACTGCATGAGAAAATTGTCTTTTGTTTCCATCACGGGGTTTGCAGGACAGTCTGAGATGGGAAATAGAAAATGTATCTGATCTGAGAAAAAGATAGTGAAATGGCCACAGACTTTTTTCCCTCTGAAAGAGACTGTTCTGCTTTTCCTGACTGTCCCTCCTTGGAAAGAATGTAAATTTCTGTTAATCGTGCTGGATGGCAGTGTGGCACCTGCCTAAGTGTCTCTCCGCCTCTGGGTCTCCCCGATACTCATCACATTCTGACCAAGCTGGCTGGGGCCTAGGGGCCAGCTCCTCAAGGGCAGGGCAAGGTCTGGCACTGAGTGTGCTGAGTGACGTCTCTGGAGACCCCAACACAAGCCCAACGAAGCTAAATTAGCCATCGCTGGTCCCTTAAAACCCACAGGAACGTGTGAGTCACGTACTGCTGGCCCAGAAACCACGCCACAGTCGCTCATCGAGTTGACCTGTGAGCGGGTCCTTCCCAGTGGCTGAGGCCGGGGTGTGAAAAGTTCCCAGCAGATGTTCACTCCCAAGCTTGCCTGAACTTTTCCATCATCTAACATATTAGATGGCCAGGACAAGCCATTGCCCTTTTTGAAGGACAGGCAAAGAGCCCTAAACCCAAGGATGGGCTCCTTTGCAGGGCCACCCACACCTGCAGGCACCAAGTACCGATTGGGTCTGACCAACCCCAGCTGACCGCTCCCTCCCCCTGTAGACTGAGCTGGGGAGTCTGAGGTGGCAGCTTATTGGGTGCAGAAGCCACTGAGAGCTGGGCATGTGCTAAATGCTCAATAAACACTTCTGCGATGAATGAATGCACACTGGGATGAATGTTGCGGGGAGACCCTGAGTGTGTGGGTGCTACTCCTGCACCCCACACGGGTTGCCAGGCCACCTGCAGACAGGGCGTCAGCCTGTGTCCCTCGCAGTGCCCCCAAGTGCTGCAGCTGGCAGGGGCTGTGGCCCCAGGGAGACTATGAGTAACGGGAGTCAAGCCCAGGGGCGCCTGCCGGCTGGATCCTCCCTCTAGTTCCTTCTCCCACTATCTCCCCCACTCAGCGCCCCACAGACCTGACTCAGCAGATGGCCTCACCTGTGCCTTCCAGGGGACCAGCGCGAACAGGGCCGTGGCCTTCCAGCTCCTGTGCACCCTCTTGTTTTCCCGTCTCCGCTCTCAGCCCCTGGCCACCCTGCCCAGCTCTGTGTGTTTCCCGGTCTTGTTCCACTTGCTCACGCCTGGAGACCTGACGCCAGCTGCCTCCTCGTGTAGCCGGCTGAGTGTCTCCAGACAGCGCATTGCTGTTCCTCTGCTTCCACCAACATCCCTGACGATTCCAATGACACAGCTTATGCGTTCAAAACCAAAGTCGCGGGCCAGCACAGGTGACCATGACTCCTTGGAGTGTTTGCTTTGTCCCAGGCACTGGACATGGGCGCCTCTCAGCCGTCACTCCAGACCCCAGGTAGGTCCTCTCTATAGGGCAATGGCTGGGAACTGGGACTTTGGGCTCAGGGAGACCAGGTTGTAATTCCCAAGCTCATCATTTGCCGTTTGTGTGAACTTAGGTAATCTTTTGGGCTTTGCCCTAGTAGAGTGATGAGGAGGCTAAAATGATGAGGCTAAAATGATCTCTTGGATGGTCACTCCCTGCAGTACGTGGCAGCATGAAGCCCTCTGGAGACGCCTTGTGAGAAGCCAGCGGACAGGGCTTATCTAGCTCAGCTCTGCCTCCCAGGGCCTGGCAAAGGCCTCCTATGCCCTTACCAGAGTGGCATCTTCCCCCACTGCAGGGCAGAGACATCTTGGAGAGATGGCGGGGCGGGAGGGGATGGTGTACATGGACTTCCCTCACCCCAATTTGCTAGTGCACTCCCCACCTCCACTAATCGAGAAAAGCCTGAGGAATGGTAATTCCGATTAACACAGGGAGGCTCACCTGCCGCCTCTCACCCCCACCCCACCCCATAAGGGGTGCTGACTGCAGACTTGCCCAGACACAAGCCAATATTTTGCAAATCTTGGTGAGCAGGAAACGAAATGCTTGTGCCATCAAATCACATTCTTACAGGCCACCTGTTTCCTGCAAGCAGGGGGTCCAGGTATCCTGGCGCCGAGGTTTCTTTATTGTAAACCTGGGGTTCCCTGACCACATTCAGTGCCGTGTTATACCGGCATGTTGACGAGTGGGGCTGAAGACAGAGCTGGCCATTGTGGCCCCAGGAAGCGATTGTATCTGTGGACCAGCTGCAGCGGCCACCACTGGCTGAGAAAGTCAGAGGAGCCTCCTGCAGGTGTCTGGAACCAGCTTTCACCTGTGCATGGGAGCTGGGAGCAAAGTGCTTCCCCAAATAGCGCTGCCCTTGGGCTCAGTTTCTAGGCTTCTGTTGGGATGGTTTGCAGGACTGCTTCACAGGAGTGACTGGCACCTCAGAAATGTTAACTACGACTATTTCCACTGCTGCTGCTCCTACCAGTAACTGGAGGAAGCGCCCTCACTGTGACAACAGCTCAGGTGCTGGAAATCTTTAGAACCCCCACCCCCACCCCAACTAGTAGGCGGGACCCCTTCCTTCTCTGCTGTCTGTCCTCTTCTCTTCTCCCCACATCCACGCTGGCAGCAGAGAGAACAGCAGGAAGCGAAGCAGTGTGAACCAGGCCCTGGGCGGTGGTGGGTGTTTCCTATTCTGGAGCAGGAGTGGAGGGTCTTCTGGGCACTGGGGAGGGAGTCCTTGAACCCCTGTGGAGGGGTCTGGGACCTGGCCCAGCGCTGCTTCAAGGTACCCCATGGACTTGGACAAATCACCTCCTGAAAGCAGTGGTCCCTGCCGGCTTTGGGGGACCTTTCAGGGCCTTCCCCACTTTTCTCAGGTTGGTGTATTTTGGGGAGGTCCCAGAGGGTGGGGAGGTAGGTTGCACTCTTTACAGTAAATGGGGGGTCATATTCATGGAGCACCTTGGTAAAGTCCTAGATTGGAGCCAGCCATTTTCCTGAGGATGCTAAGTAACTTAGGGAACATCCTGATTTGAGGTCTGAGATGTCCCAAACCCAGAAGCAGAAGCGTGCCCTGGGCTGGTTATAGGACTCCAAGGTGAGTCACTGGAGAGGGTGGGGTGTAGGTAGAGGCACCGCCCGCCTGGGGGAGGGGTGGTGGGAGGAGGCCCTTTGTGGCCAGTAGATGCCCCGCCCCCAGCAGCCCTGGCTGTCCCAGGTTCTCTGGAAGGTGGGAGCAGCTGCCAGGGGGAGCCCAGCTAGAGACCTGAGCATCCTCCGGAAAAAACAGCCAGGCAGGCAGGGCCCAGGAACGAGGGAGGGAGCCCAGAGGAAGGAGGAAGCTCCTGCTTCACCCAGTCCTCGGTTCCCCAAGTGCACCACGTGGGTGGGAGCGTGTCACACACACCCACGCGCCCACAGCCACCTTCCCTGTGCTCCAGCCGGGGCCCAGCCCATCTCCGCGCGCCTGTGTGCACCGGGCCTCGGCGGGCCACGTCGCCGCCACCTGCTGCTGCCTCCCGGTGAAGCAGAGGAGCATCTGGGTGCCCGCGTCCCTGATCGGCGCCCACCGACCTCCGCCCCCATTCTCCAGGGCCAGGCTGAAGCCTGGTCTTCCACAGGCCCCCTCCCCAGCGCAGAGGGGGAGGCGGAGGGAGGAGCTCCGGCGCGCCGCCCGCCCTCCGGTCCCCTCCCCTGCGCTCCCCTCCCCTCGGCTGCCGCAGCCCCGCTAGTCGCGCGCGTCAGCGTGGGCTCCCCGGAGCGAGTCGCTAGGTAACCGGGCTGGCTCCGCAGACCCGCGGCGGGGGAAACCCGCGCGCTTTGTCAGCAGCGGCGCGGAGGGGCGAGGGCCGGGGGTGCGTGGACCCTCCCCGGCAAGGCCTGCAGGTCCCGGCTCGCCTGCAGCCCCCTCCCACGATGTCTTAACCCGAACCGACCGCCCGGCCGAGGTGCTCCCCCTTGCAGGGAACCGGACGCCGCCAGCCCCTTCCTCCTTCCCAGCGGCCGCGCTGGGCTGTGCGCGCAGCGGGGGGCGCCTCACTGCCGCGTCGCCGCGGGTAAGCTGCGCCCCAGGGCCAGGCCAGGGCGGGGAGGGGAAGGGGCGTGCGGCCAGCAGGTTAGCTCCCTCGGCCGTGGCCGCCGGCCCCGCCATGTGCTAAAGTTTCTGGGGCTCGCGCCCCGGCGGGAGCACAGCGCTGGGCGCTACGATTGCGCGGTGGGTGGGGCCGCGCGGTCCTGCTGGGCGCTCGTCTCCCGCGACCCCCGCGGGGCGCAGCTCGGCGCCCTCTCACGCTCTCTTTCTCTCTTCCCCCCGCGCTGCCCTCCCAAGGGCCTCCAGCCGATCCAAGGCGCGGGGCATGAGGAGCCCCGGGGCGCCGCCCGGAGACGACCCGGCTGCTCGCACACCTCGCCAGCGCCTGACCGGGACATGAGCAGCGCGCTCGGGGTTCGGCGCCCGGCGGCCAGCCCCAGCCGGCGGCGGCCAGCGGGTCGGCGCTGCCGGGGAGAATGAGGCAGGAGCCCGCGGCAGCCTCCTCTTTCTTCTCTTCCTCGCCTGCTTCCGTCTCCGGCGCCCCGGGCCCCGGCCAGACTGTGGTCCTGCTGCGTGCCCTGCGCGCCCCCAGCCCGCCTCCGGATGCGCTTCTCGGTAAGCCAGGCCCTCCGCCTCGGGAACAAAGCCCCTTCCTAGGGCTGGGAGGCTGCCCGGAGCCCCCTGTCCGGCCCCGACCCAGTGCCCAGTGGCTGTGGGGCTCCCGCGGGAACCCCTCCATCCCCCTCAAACCCTGCCTGGAGGCTGAACTGCCAGGCACCTTCGAGATAGGTGTTCCTGGGCCATGGGTGAGGCAGGCAGATGCGGGCTTGACACGCAGGCAGACCTGTTTGGTCTGGGTAATGATAAATGCAACCTGGGTTCACACTCATCCTTGGAAGTGGGCAGGGGCGACTCCCCGTTTATAGTGACCCCATACTGGGTGTCCAGCCTGAGCCTGAGCGTGCATGCTTCCAGACCATTTCAGGGGCTAGGTCCCTTTGCTTCCATGCCTCAGGTTTGGAAACTGAGGCCCAGCGAGGTTGAATGACTTAATCAAGGTCACAAGATCAGGAAGTGGGGGACCAGGGTGGGAACTCAGGGTACTCTTTCTACTTTTCCACCTAGCTGATGCCTTTGCAACAAACACACCTGCCCGTTTCTTGTACTAACTGCTCTGGTCTGGAATCATTGCGTGCGTGTGTGTGGGGAAATACTCGTGCAGATGAATATGTTGCTGGGTGCATGTGGGTTTTGCCATCTGTCCATCACATTGCTGCCAGTGCCTCATGTGAACTGCAAGTGATAAGGTTATTTCTCTTATGAAGGTGTGAAAAATAATGCGTATCCCTGGTGCTCTCCTTCCCGATTCCCGGAAGGCTGGGAAGGGCAGTGCTGGTTCCTCCTGTGTGCCTCTTCTTTGCTGTCTGTGCCCAGCACATGCTAACCCTCAGAACATGTGCCAAGCCTTCTGGGGGAGAGGGCTCGCAAGGCCACCGCCGTGGTTGTGTAAGGCTGGGACCTGGTTACTTAACAGGCTCTGGGGCTGGTCCCAGATGGCCACTGCGTAGGAGCCGACCCTGCTGGAAATTTGCTCTTGTATCCCCTTTGCAAGGCCCTGTGTCAGCAGGACTTCACACTTCTGAGCCCAGAGGAAAGCGGGGAGGAGCTTTAATGTGGCCAGGAGGTCTCCTACTTGTTCCCAACCGTCTGGTTGGCGCTTCGAACTGTTTGCTTCAGCACATATGGCTTGATCCCAAAGGGGGAGTGAATCCCTGGGTCCTGAGTGGCTGGAGTCCCTGGGTGCTGGGCTTGGTTGTCTAGATGACCTAGAGTATTGTGTCAGAGCAGAAAAAGGCCCTTCTCAAATGGGGGCCTCAGTTTCCTGTTTGCAGCAGGAGCAGGGTCCATTGGAGGACTCTCAGGATCCCTTCCATCTAAATGGTCCCTGGCCGGCAGAGTAGGTTGCAGGACTGTGCTGGCGCGTGAGCTGGTCAGACACGTGCGGCTGGATTTGGTGGCTGGGACTAACTAGCTTGTTGATTTCCAGGAAGAGGAGGTGGTGTCGAGGGAGCTGAAAGATTCAAGTTTCATCCAAAGTCAGTGAAGCAGAACCACGCTTGAGTGGATTCTTTATTGGGCTAAAGCTTGGTGACTCTGAAATGTCCAAAGGGGCCAGGTAGGGGTGTGGGGCATTTGAAGGGTCACATACACCCCAGAGGACTGGTGAGATATAATGGGTCAACTGGGGACCCAGCCCTAAGGACATGGCAACTGGCGAACCCATCTGACCCTTCCAGAAAGAATTCATCATAGTGGCACTGCTCAAACCCTGTCAGCCTGAGCAATGGCTGCAGGTGAATCAAGTGTTCTAGACTCTCCCCCTCTCTTGCTCGCTGATTACGTTAGTGAGGAAGAGTGTGTCTCAGAAGGTGCCTCAAGGGACCAGGACAGAGCAGTCCTCCCACCCCCATGTTAAGACTTCAACGTAGTCTTTGCCTGTCGATTATGATCAGGTTAATGTCATCAACTTGACCTGTGTCCCACCATGAGGTTGTCACAGGTCTTTTAGACACATAGATTCATGAACCCGCGAGAGTGCTACCGAACCCGGAATGAAAGGGGCACGTCCTGTCTTTTTCCCTAGAAACTCAGTTCCCAGTGGGTTTTGTAAGTGTTGGAAATGCGCGTTTTCAAGAAGCTCGCAGGGTCTGTGAAGGGCAGGCGACATTCTGGCGTGAGCATACCCGCCTCCCACATTGTGCAACTCCTCGTGACCACCTGAAAGGGCTTTGAGTAAACTTGAGTGCAGAGAAACAGCTACTTTGGAGAAGGACGATGCCGTTACGATGCCGTTACGGTGTTTATGCCGGGGTGCCCGAGTGTGCCACCCTCACCCGAGGCTGCACTCCACAGTAGCACGTGACTCATTCTCGATGCTGAGTTTTTCATCAGTGTGTTTTTTTTTTATTTTGCTTCCCCCCCCAAACCTCCCCCCCCCGGCATGAAATTATGCAGCCAAGAATTAAAAAAATATATATTCAATGTGGCTTTGCCTTAAACCCACCTCTTTTCCAGAAGATCCCTAAAGCTGAGCTCTTCCACACAGTTTATATAATGGTCTCTGAAAAGATTTATTTTAGGTGCCTTAGATTTCTTGGGAGAGTGCAGGAGGGGTGATGTATGTGTCACAACTGAATAACAGCAAGACATCATTTCTCTGTAGCACCCATTGCCAAGTCCAGGGTCTAGAGCATGAACTCTTTGGGTCTGAGCTGCCATGTCCAGCACTGTAAGCACCCAGTGCAACATCTGTTCAAGGTTAAGAGTGTGTGCAGGTGTCTCTGGGGATGTAGAGGAAAGGAGCATCCCCCAGAAGCCAGGACACCTGGATTCGTGCCCAGCTCTGTTGATAGACTTTGTGATCTTGGATCATTTTTTAGGTCTCAGTTTGCATATCTGCAAGTGTGTGCAAATTGGGGCGGCACTGGGTGAGTGCTTGCGTGTGTTAGTGCTAGGTGCTTCCTCCAACTGGCAGCTGGGAGAGTCCTCAGAGTTTGCATGCAGCTGGTTATTAATAGCTCCTGAATGCTGGTATGTTAAGGTTGCATAACATCTTCAATTACATGTCCATATCAGCCGTAGGAACTGGTCATTATAAAGCAGGCTACTCATGCTAAAAGGGAGTGGGAGTTCTATCCTGAATGTACGACCCTCGGACTTACATCTTACAGCTTCTCCCTCTGGGCCCCTCCATAGTAGTCTCACATTGCAGGGGGCTGGTTTGGAGTGAGCGAGGACCCTCCCTGGGGTCCACGTGATGGGAAGCCCAGGAGCGTTATGTGCTGGGTCAGTGGGGTGGAAGGATCTGATGTTCTCTCCACAGCTCGGGGCCTGAGGACTCAACAGGTTTTTGTCTTAGCCTCTGTCTATTCCCAGAGGCGCAGAGGGGAAGTATGTAATTACTGTTTGGAGTTGTTTTGAACATGGAAAGGGCTTGAATGAAGTCCTTGAGCGAAGGACTTGAACTCAGTTCAGATTGAGACATGGTAAGATGGTGGCAGACTTGCCCAAGGTGTTTCTGTGGGACTTCTGGACCAGACTCCTCAAAACCCCTAAGCCATCTGTTGTGGGGGGTCAGATTCCTGAGTGAAGCCGCAGTCACTGCCTGATAAAGAGGGGGAGAGAGGAGATGGTGGGAGGGAGGAGCCACCAGCCCCTAAACACTTGGTCCTCACAACTCTGCAGAGGAGGCCCATGAACCCCGCTTCTAGGGTTCCCAGCAGACCACTGAAGTGTGTTGCTCAGACACCACTGATGACAGGCAGAGCCAGGCACTTTCAGGTGCTGGGACTCCTGTCACCCCACACCACGCCTCATGTCCACTGTTGCTGCTGTGTTTCTGGCAGCCGGGGGGCTCAGGGTGGGGGGCTGTTCATCCCGAGTTTCAGATGACACAGAGCAAGAACACTGAGGATGGGACATAGGCACTAGCAGGTGAGGGGGGATGGCTAGAGGCCCCCATCTCCCAGGCGCTGTGTTAGAGCTGGCATTTCTTGTACCTCTCTACCAAATGTGGTAGATTCCAGAGAGATTCACAAATAAGCCAGACGTTGCCCCCAAAGCATTAGAGTTGTAGTTTGGGGGTGGAAGCTGAACGAACCCCGTAAGATGTGTGTCACCCCGGGACCCCCAGGAGGTCACAAGTTGGCACGTGGGCCACGTTGCCAGCCTTCACCTCCCAGAAGGGGCCACAGACTGTAAGTTACGTAACTCCTCAGGGGAGGCAGGTTGCCCCACGGGGTAACCCTCGTCAAGCAGCGAGCAGAGGAGGAGCAGATGGAACTTAAAGGGTCACCTACGCTCTTAAGTATTCCCAGGACTTAGGAGGAAATGTGGGTTTGGGAGAAGTTTCCAAGCCACTGAATACAGATGCTGTCACATCAGATATTTTGTGTGGCCTACGGGTGTCCGCCCACGTTAGGGAGCGGAGCTGTGGCTGCTTTTGGCTGGTGGCCTGTGGGTCTGGAACAGGATCGTCCAACAGACAGCAGATTCCAGAATCCCGCCGGTAGCACACGACTTACAGAGAGGAAAGGGAGCCACTGAAACACTTCAGCCCCCTTTCCCAACCTCACATTCTAGTGAGTTCTCTCAGATGGGTTCACCAGCGGCTTAAAATCCTTCCAGCCTCAAAGATCATGCTTAGTGAGATAAGCCAGAAAAAAAAAGAAAAATACCGGATGGTTTCGCTCATAGCAGGAGTATAATGGACCAGGTGAGAAAATAATAAGAATAATGAACAGCCATATACCAGAGACATAGACATTTTGTGGGGGTGGAGTGGGGAATGGGATCAAAAAACGGGGGTGGGGTGGGGAGGGAAATGCACGGGACTATGGTGATGCCACACGGGTGACTCGGTGATGGGAAACCCGCGGGGATTACAACTGAGATAAAAAAAAATGTACAAAATGATGTAAAAATAAACTATATATATATAAAAAAAATCCTTCCAGCCCCGAGGTTGGCCATACCCAGGTGATGCCAATGGGGTCTTACCCAACGGGAAGCCTTTACCTCCCTGTCCAGATTCCTAGGCTGCTGACAGGCCAAGA